GTGTTATTACAGGGAAATATGTATTACTGCAGCAATTGTGGGTATTACATATACTAATCCTAAATTCTCGAGTACAAGGTCTTTAAATCAGAGTATAATATTAAGTTTTTTTTCTTCTAAATTTGTGTATTGATAAAGAAATTCTGGATTTATTTAATATATTTTTTTATATCTTATTTTCTGGGGAAGTATAGAGTGAATGTTTTTAACCTTAAAATGTCCGTTTTTTTAAAGACAATATTACGAATTTTTAAAAAGTTTTCTAATGATTTGTTTCCATGTATCATGAAAAACGTATTTCTTCTATGGTTGCAATGTTAAGCACAATGCTACACAATGGACTATCTGTGCTTTCCTCAGTACAGTACCAAGACCCGAGTCTTGTAAATATTTCGGTTTTTTCTTGTAGCGAAAACATTACCTAGTTCTTTTAAAGCTGAACTCATTTGAAGAGTATCCATTTCAATTTTTACAAGTGGGTATATTATTGATAAGTTTAGTTGTCACTATTACTCGGGGAGAGGCATAAAGTTAAATGCTAGTTCTTTTTAACCCATTAAAAAAATTCAGATAGGTGATGAAATTTAGTACTAAAGGAAAATCTTGCATTTTTAACAAACAAACTGTTCACAAGGGTTATATTTGTTCATTTAGTACTGTATTTTTTTACAAGGGTTATATTTGTTCATTTAGTACTGTATTTTTTACAAGGGTTATATTTGTTCATTGAGTTCTGTATTTTTTTACAAGGGTTATATTTGTTCATTGAGCACTGTATTTTATTTACAAGGGTTATATTTATTCATTGAATACTGTATTTTTGTTTCAAGGGTTATAATTGTTCATTGAGTACTGTATTTTTGTTTCAAGGGTTATATTTGATCATTGAGTACTGTATTTTTTACAGGGGCCATATTTGTTCATTGAGTACTGTATTTTTTTACAAGGGTTATATTTATTCATTGAATACTGTATTTTTGTTTCAAGGGTTATAATTGTTCATTGAGTACTGTATTTTTAATGCGGCTCAACTGATTTTAGTAAAAATGTAAAGAAACATCTCTTTAAATATTTCAATCGTGCTTGAAAATTTCAGATCATACAAGTCAGATTGTTTAGTTGCAACGATTAGTTCGGCAAGTAATTGTTCTGCTGACTAAATGATCATCTTTTAAAGATTTCGTGAAAGAATGTGTAGGAACCTCATCAGAACTTTGACATTACATCTGGTTGGGTGGGGTGGGGGGATCCAACTGGCTAGATATTTTATATGGATAGAAACAGACTTCAGCAATATGTTTGGAGTAGATTCCAATCAAAGATGTCACAGAATACATATACCCTCTGTCAGTGGTATGAAACAGTATTGAAAATGACCAATAGAAATCCTGTTCCTGGAAGAAAATTTTCATTTTATGACTAGTAACCAGTTTACCATACAAGATTTGAACAAATGTTTTTGCTTAGTGTTGAATGAACTGTATACTACACAACCTAATCAACATAAATGTAGCTCCATCACTGTCCACACCAGAAATTCTCAACCTCTTGAGATGTGTCTATACACACACACAGAGCTATATGATACTGGAAATAAGAAAACTGGTTTCTTCATTAACTCAAAATATTCC